GGCTCACCTCAAGGATTATATCTAATTTATAGCTATGTTCTACTTCACCATTTTGTGTTTGTTATATTTCATTGTTCTTTTATTTAAAAGAGAAAGGATGTAGCAATATGTTATATGCTGTGTATGGCCTCTAGGGGTCTCACTACTTAGATACTGGTACAACTGTGTTATTGCCTCTCTTTGGTTGTAGTTCTAGGGCAGACACATGTATAATGGCAGCTAGAAGCACCTAATAAAATGTCTCCTGTTAACTACAGTGTGTATCCATCTGAGCAGGATCGACTAACAGAACACTTTGCTATATTGTGCAACAAATTGTGGCAATATAGTGAAGCTATTGGAGGATATTGAAAGTTGATATTTTGTGAGCTTTCTTACAATTTGCTATATTCTTTCCGCATTACCCTGCGACAACCATTTTGTGAACTGAAATGAAAGTGAAAAATGTCATCTGAGTATGACTGTGCTATGGAACACATACGTTCTTCAGAGAATACTGTACTTGAGACCCATTACTTTAGCACTGGCTTTCAGTCCATCAAGTTCAAGGAACAGTTTTTGAAACAACTGAGACTTGATTTGTGTTAAGTGAATGGGGGTGGAGACTTGCAATGCAGCTCTCAATGTAGAGCAAAATTACGTTACCAAGTCAAATTTATTAAGGTACCTTAACTTAAATTTCATTGTACAACAATGAATGCAGAAATGTAACTGTACATGACACACAATATTAAGTTGATGTAATTTCCAACATTATCATTTCAACACAACTCATGAAAGTAGGTTTTTAAATGAAAAAGTTTATTTAAACCAATAAATTAGGATTTTTATCTTGGAAATACACATTTAATTAAGTGGTGGTAACAGGTCGCTTGAGTTATTTTTTAGAGTGCAGCGCATGCGGTCTAAAGCAATGGCATACCCATGCAGTTCCTTCAGAGCTGTGTGCAGTGGCCAAGACTCCCGAGCTTATGCGCGGGTGTGACATCATCATGGCTTGGCCATTCATCCGGCCGCAGCCCGCGAACCCGTAAGAAGGGCTGGGTGAAGATGGAAGCCTCTGCAGCAGTGACAGCGCACAGCTGGAGGGCTTAGTTTTCAAGTAAGTCTTTCATAATGTGCTAGTATGTGGTGCATACCAGCACATTATGATATTTCCTTGCAGGAAGAAACTTTTTTTTTTTTCAAACAAGAGTGTACTACCGCTTTAACGTCCTTAGCGGTGTTCCCGAGTGTAGCTCGGGGTAAAATTTCTATACCAAAAGCGGTAACCCCGAGCTACACTCGGGCTTACCATGCGGCGCTGTTCTGGGGGTCCCTGCAGCACTTACCTTGTCCTTCGCTCCCGCGATGTGTCCCCTCCAGCATCCCCGGCCATCTCCTCCGGCCGATGCCGGCATCCGGCTCCTGTGTTCCGGTCCCTGTGACGTCGGGATGTACGGGCGCCGGGACCAGCGGGAAATTAGAATTTTTTTAAAAATTTCATTTTTGCTGTCATTGCTATTTCAATGCATTTCACATACATTTTGTCCCTACTGCTTTGTCCTGTGCCATGCCTGCATTTTTACTGTTCTTTCTGCCTGGAAATTTAGAAAAGTCCATGGCGTCCAAAAAGCGTCCCTTTACGTCAAAAGCGGTTTTAGAACAGCGATAGTAAATCAGAACCACTTGCAGAATTGAGTGATAATGATTTTTGTGGGGAAATTCGTCATCAGACACTGAAAACGATTTTGCGACTTTGCTCAGCGATGTGCGAATTTGCCTCTGTATTTCAAATTTCAGTGTTTTTGGTTTGATTATATTATTGAATTAAATTTATTATTATTATATTATTATTTTTTATGACTATTTATTAAATTATAATTTATGATTTCGTGTTTCAAATTTTATCATATCCGGAATGTTTACTAGACTCTTGTTCGGACAGATTTCAGTGAGTTATTCCTAAAAATTACAGCCTACAATAAAAAACTACATATTTCCATGCAAAAAAATGGTACCACTTTCAGCACAAAAAATCGGAAAGAATCATACCGCCAAGGAGGTTAAGAGAAATTACAAATGTAGCTGTTTCCTTTCAGACTCTTTCTCTAATTGAGACTATAAACAGAACTGTACAGATTATGGAGAAAGAGGAGAGAGTACAGATGATTCATTCATAGTTTAGGCCACATTCCCACTTTGGCCCAACAGCGTTTATATGCCAGAACCCCAGCAGGGGGGGGGGGGGTCCCTGCAATTAGTCTGTATCCAGTGCAGATCACTGGCAGGTACAGTTGCAAGAAAAAGTATGTGAACCCCTTGGGATTACATGGAGTTTTGCATGAATTGGGCATAAAATGTGCTCTGAACATCATCTAAATCACAACAATAGAAGAACACAGTCTGCTGAACATAATACTACACAAACATTAGATGTTGCCATGGTTTAATTGCACATAACATGTAAACATTCACAGTGCAGGGAGGAAAAAGTATGTGAACCTTTGGACTTAATAACTGGTTGACCCTCCTTTGGCAGCAATAACCTCAACCAAACGTTTCCTGTAGTTGCAGATCAGACCTGCACAACGATCTGGAGTCATTTTGGACCACTCCTCTTCACAAAACTGTTTCAGTGTAGCAATATTCTTGGGATGTCTGGTGTGAATCGCTCTCTTAAGGTCATGCCACAGCATTTCAATCGGGTTGAGGTCGGGACTCTGACTGGGCCACTCCAGAAGGCGTATTCTGAGCTGTTGCAGCCATTGTTTTGTTGAATTACTTGTATGCTTTGGGTCATTGTCCTGTTGCATCACCCATCCTCTGCGGAGCTTCAGTTGGCGGACAGATGGTCGTACGTTTTCCTGCAAAATGTCTTGATAAACTCTGGAATTCATTTTCCCATCAATGACAGCAATCTGTCCAGGCCCTGAGGCAGCAAAGCAGCCCCAAACCATGATGCTCCCTCCGCCATGTTTTACAGTGGGGATGAGGTTTTGATGTTGGTGTGCTGTGCCTTTTTTTCTCCACACATAGTGTTGTGTGTTCTTCCCAAACAACTCAATCTTGGTTTCATCTGTCCACAGTATATTTTGCCAGTAGTGCTGTGGAACATCCAGGTGCTCTTTTGCAAACTTCAAACGTGCTGCAATATTCTTTTTGGACAGCAATGGCTTCCTCCGTGGTGTCCTCCCATGTACTCCATTCTTGGTTAATGTTTTCCTTATTGTAGATGTGTCAACAAAAATGTTAGCATGTGCCAGAGATTTCTGTAGGTCTTTAGCTGACACTCTGGAATTCTTCTTTACCTCATGCAGCATTCTGCGCTGTGCTCTTGCAGTCATTTTTACAGGACGACCACGCCTAGGGAGAGTAGCAACAGTGCTAAACTTTCTCCATTTGTAGACAGTCTGTCTTACCGTGGACACATGAACATCAAGGCTTTTGGAGATACTTCTGTAACCCTTTCCAGCTTCATGCAAGTCAACAATTCTTGATCGTAGGTCTTCTGAGAGCTCTTTTCTGCGAGGCATGGTTCACATCAGACAGTGCTTCTTGAAACCAGTAAACCCGAAACAGGTTTGTGTTTTTTAAGGGCAGGACAGCTGTCAGCAACACATCCAATATCATCACACTGATTGGAGTCAAGGTTGGCTCACTCCTGGCTCCAATTAGCTCTGGGAGAAGTCATTAAGCTAGGGCCTCACATACTTTTTCCTCCCTGCACTGTGAATGTTTACATGTTATGTGCAATTAAACCGGCAACATCTAATGTTTGTGTAGTATTATGTTCAGCAGACTGTGTTCTTCTATTGTTGTGACTTAGATGACGTTCAGAGCACATTTTATGCCCAATTCATGCAAAACTCCACGTAATCCCAAGGGGTTCACATACTTTTTCTTGCAACTGTAATTGCTGCATAATGATTACATGCAAGTGGCTGCAATAAGCAAGGGAAGCCAGAAGCCTCACATTGCTTTCAATAGGGCTGCCTCCTGCATAATCTTCCCTGGACACAAGCTGCTGTTCTCCCATGTAAATGCTGTCCGGCCAATTCGCAAGTGTGAATGTGGCCTTAATGAAAGTTGAACATTTCAGAAGATTAAATACAACTTATGAAAGTACGTTAATATTAGTTTTTTTAGTGGCTACATTTAGATGTATTTTAAGTTGCATTATAGAGGTGCTCTGGGGTACTCTGCATCTCTGCTTAAAGTAGTACCAATCCCTCAACACATTGAGCAAAATAAAATAAACATTCCCCAGTAAACTATTTGTATAATTCTTACCCCATAACTTGCAGTTTACAGCTTTCAAGGCTGCTGGAGTAGGGGCAAGGAGGAAGTAGGAGCAGTGGAGTGCCTTGCCTTCCTAGGCTATGGGGCTGTACGATTCTATTGATGCACACAGTGTAGGAATATACAACTAGCCCTTGCATGCCAGAGTTACTCCATAGGATGCTGTAAGGGAGAGCATCCACGCCGAAAAACAGGAAACCAAGGGAAGCAGTCATGGCACCAGCCTAAACTGGAACGTAGGCAAGGATTAACCACTTGTCTGCCGGGCGCTTTCACCCCCTTCCTGCCCAGGCCAATTTTCAGTTTTCAGCGCTGTTGCACTTTGAATGACAATTGTGTGGTCCTGCAACACTGTACTCATATGAATTTTTTATATTTTTCTTTGAGACAGATTGAGCTTTCTTTTGGTGGTATTTAATCACCTCCGGGGTTTTTTTTTTTTTTTGCTAAACAAACCAAAAACAACTGAAAATTTTGAAAAAAAAAAGTTTTTTCTTAGTTTCTGTTATAAAATTTTGTAAATGAGTAATTTTTCTCCTTCACTAATGTGTGCTAATGAGGCTGCAGTGATGGGCACTGATAGGCTGCACTGATGGGCACTGATGAGGAGGCACTGGTAGGTGGCACTGATGGGCATTGACGGGCATCACTGATGGGCACTGAAAGGCAGTACTCATATATGACACTGATAAGCGGCACTGATAGGCGACACGGACTGGCACTGATAGGCGGCCATGATAGGCGGCACTGACTGGCACTGATAGGCGGCACTGACTGGCATTGATAGGTGGCACTGATAGGCAGCACTGACTGGCACTGATAGTTGGCACTGAAAGGCAGCTCAGATGGGCACTGATATGTGGCATTGATGTGCACTGGTAGGCACTGATAAGTGGCATTGCTGGGCACTGACAGGTGGCATTGATGGGGCTACACTGATACTGATCATCAGGGCACTGATCACCAGTGCCCTGATAATCAGTGTAGATGTCCCCTCTGAGGAATGCCGATTACCGGCGTGGCAGCTCATGAGGAGAGGAATGCCGACAACCGGCATTTCCTTATTTACATACGATCAGCACCAATTGCTACGCTGCGCGGCCCTGGGGGTGCTCACACACGGTTAGAGTGGGAGGATGTCATATGACGTCCTCCCAGAATGAGAGAACCACCGCCCCCCGTCATTTCCTTATATGGTGGGTGGAAGGTGGTTAAAGGACAAAGAAACCACATACTCATCTAATGAATAAAGCTGCTGAAAATGCTTAAAAAACTGAGAGTTTAATATCAGCTTCATCCTAAATGGGAAGTTCCTCTTTGACACCTCCTTCCCACTCCTTTCCCACTTTTGTATTTTTTTTTGGGGGGGGGGAGCAAGTACCTAGTTTTAGCAGGCACCAGCTCCCACTTCTGCCCCGCAGCCTTCTGGGATATGTCATAGGTCCCAGAAGGCTTTGAGACAATTAAAAAAGCACAGCGCGATTCACACATGTGCAGCGAGAAGTCAACTGTGATGACTCAAGGAGTCACAGCTGGCGCTGGGGACCTGAAAACTGGCAAGGAAGTGGACCGGGAGGATAGTGCTGGATCCCTGGACAGGTAACAGTCCTTTTATTAAAATCAGCAGCTACAGTATTTGTAACTGCTGATTTCTATTTAAGAATTGAAGAACTGCTTTGAAGGTTGCAGCACAAACATCCGATGGTGCCAGTCCAATCTACATGGAATCTTTTATCAGAAAAAAGCTATTACCCATGGCGTGACAGGAGGCTTCACCCCCCCATACATGTGACAAAAGCCGAGTTCTTGTCATATCATTCACTCCGGATCCAGCTCATCTCAGCAGACAGCTATGCACAAAATGACTGGGTCAGTTGGAGCACCATGATGAATGCTCTGCTGAATCCATCCAATTAAGTGAATCTAGTTCAGGCTTCTTTACCACAACAAAATTCAAGATAAATGATACGGACCGCCATGGTGGGCACCCTAAGAAACGCCGCTAATGTATGAAAGTGACTCTGTTTTACAGTAAGCCTGATCCCAGTATTGTAGCAACAATGTAGAAATCACTTTTCAGGCTTTTGTTTGTTGGGTAACTAGTAGTGGAGAATTACAACACAGTCCGGTAACTCTGGGCACTGAAGACAATTGTTCTAGATGGCTGCTCTTGTATTCAGCTCACTATTACATTTTACAGTTATCTGGATATTGACTGACATCCTCAAGGAGTTTATTTTGGGGATAGACTGTCTTTAAAGTGAAACCGTGTGCAAATCAAAAAATGACATATATGATCCAGTCTGTAACTAGCAATGCCGCAGCAGTTTTTGTGTTCTGAGTCCCCCCTGTAGCTAAAGGCAGCCATACATGGATCAAAATTTGTCCGGGTCAGCTTGTTTCAGATGAATTTTTTATTCATGTATGGGCGGACTGGTTGTACAGAAGTTGATCTACTGATTGACTTCTGTACAACCAGTTTGTTTGTTTTTTCCTAAACAATCAGTGACTGTGGCTATAGCTTTCTCCTGTCAGAATACAATAACTCAATACCTCCACAAAATACAATAACTCAATAACTCCACCATCCATATCTAGTGTGTGGATGGGGGAATTGGGTCATTTATTTTCCATTCAACTGTATGGCCTGCCTTAGTTTTATTACCTGTTGATTCTGCTGGCAGATTTGTTAGTCTTCCTGTAACAGACCAAGCTCTCAAGCAAAAGTGACAGTTATCATCACATGCCTCACAAATGAGTCCTGTGCAGCTCCGAAACATTGCACTTTCTTTTGTGATGTGATCTTTTTGGTATAAAAACCTTTTTTGGACCATATTGGAGATCCGTGGTGTGCTGGCGAATATGTATGTTTGCTTATTACCTGTTGATTCTGTTGGCAGATTTGTTAGTCTTCCTTCCCCTGTAACAGTCCAAACTCTCCAGAAAAAGTGACAGTAACAGGGTTCGGAACAGACCGTATTACATTATAGAGATTCTTACAACAGTTTTTGATTTAAACATTTTTTTCAAAAGAAAAAAATATTGTTGTAACTGTTTTAAAAGTATTAGCAAGAGTTGAACTTTCATTTGTTTGCCACTTAAAGTCCATCTAAGACTTGCTCTTGATGAACTACAATACATAGGTTAAAGCAGTGTTTCTCAACCTTTTTTCAGTCAAAGTACCCCTTACATTTATGGACAGTCCCAAGGCACCCTTTAAAATTTTAGACAGTCCCAAGGCACCCCATTCTAAAATGTAAAAAACTATTCTAACAGTTTTATATAATGCAGCAACATTCACATATGTAAGATGCACAACATAAGAAGTGATTTATTCTTTCAAAGCAAATACACTTTTGCACACTGGTACTGACTGAAACTATTGTTCCTCTTCTCCCTCGCTCAGCTATTGTGACCCCAGCATTGATGGAGAGGGGCAGGGGAGGGTATACAAGAATGTTTTGCAGGCAGCCGACATCCTCCTTATCAATTGATGATGTCATGGGTTGTCAGGACACCGGCAGCTAGAAGGTCATAGTGGTGCACAATGAAAATCTATGGCTTTGTGTAACTAAAAGGCAGGTTTGTTCCACCCGTGGCTTGTTTACAAGTTTTGGGCATTTTTTAGACATTTTGCCAAGGCACCCCTGAAGAAACCTAAAGGCACCCCAGGTTGCCTGGGCACCCTGGTTGAAAAAAGGTGGGTTAAAGTGTAAGTATGAACAAAATGCAAACTGAAACAACATTAGGGTAAACGGTTTTACTTGCCAGAAATTTTATTCTGTTCAGCCAGTTTTATAATCCAGACACCTCTGATGTGGATATGGGAGGTAAGTGCTGTACTAGTCTTGTGGGGTCATGGTCACTGTGTTGACTTGATATACAGTAGATCTAAATGGTGCAGGGAGTGGTATCCTGAATTGGAAACAAACCCTACAATTTATTGTTTTCCCAAAACAGTTACATTTAAGGTTTGCTTATGATAGCTGTCAACTGAACTGTTGAGCCATCAAATTGCTGGTGTCATAGCGGATCACATGCATAGCACCATGACAACTATAGATCAAACAGAGGCTGAGATGGCAGCTTCCTGGGCTGTAAAGGATAAGAAGGTTTAGTTCCAACTTTAATGATGGCTGAACTTGTGAATGGTCTCCAAAGAAATTAATCCTTCAAAAGTATACTGTAAGTACTTGATTGCAGGATATGGAGCATAAATATGGCTGATCCTTCCCCCCTATTGGCTGCTCTGGTCCTTTTGTTGGATTACCCGTAGTAGGTCACCTGTGTTTCAAATTCCTCCCCTTTGGATCAGAATTTGAACGTTACATTTTTTTTTTACATTTGTATCCATAATCCCTACATGAATGTTTATTATTAGCACCATTGCTGGAGCAACAATTTTGAATCATTTTTCTTTTTTGGTATAGAGAAGTGGTCTCCAAACTGTGGCCCGCAGGCAGGATGTGGCAATTTTCTTGCCTTTATATGGTCTCTTTAGGACACTATTCATCCCACTGACACCATAGATGGGGCATTGTTTCTTCCACTGCCATCGTAGATGGGGCATTATTCTTCCCACTGTCACGAATGATAGAGCACTATTCTTCCCACTAATACCAATGATGGAGCACTATTCCTTCCACTAATGCTAATGATGGGGTACTATTTTTCCCACTAATACCAATGATGGGGCACTATTCCTCCCACTAATAGCAACAATGGGGCACCATTCCTGCCACTGACACCAACTATAGAAATTCTTCTTCTTCTCTCTAATACTAATGAAATACCAATGATGAGGCACAGGTGATATGTAATGATGGGGATTATCCTCCTACTGCCCACAGGTGGTATGTAATGCTGGGGATTATTCTTCCCACTAATATCAATGATGAAGCACTATTCCTCCCACTAATACCCATGATAGGGCTCTATTCCACCCACTTATACCAATGATAGGGCACTATTCCCCCCACTAATACCAATAATGGGGTACTAATCTTCCCACTACTACCAATGATGGGGCACTATTCCTCCCATTAATACCAATGATAGGACACTGTTCCACCCACTGTTACCAATGATGGGGTACTATTCCCCCCACTAGTACAAATGATGGGGCACTATTCTTCCCACTGATACTAATGATGGGGCACTATTCCTCCCACTAATACCAATAATAGGACTGTATTCCTCTGAATAATACCAATGATGGGGTACTATTCCTCCCACTTATAGCTATGGTGGGGCACCATTCCTCCCACTAATACCAATGATGGGGCACTATTCTTCCCACTAATACCAATGATGGGACACTATTCCTCCCACTTATAGCTATGGTGGGGCACCATTTCTCCCACTAATACCAATGATGGGACATTATTCTTCCCACTAATACCAATGATGAGGCACTATTCTTCCCACTAATACCAATGATGGGGCACTATTCCTCCAACTTTTACCAGTGATGGGGCACCATTCCTGCCACTGACACCAACTATTCATCCCACTGATACCAATGAAATACCAATGTTCCTCCTCCTGCTGCTCACAGGCACCAAGTCTGAGGCATATTTTACACCCACTGGCCACAATCTGGCCCTCCTAAAGTCTGAAGGACCTTAAACATAAACTGGCCCTTTGCTTAGAAAGTTTGGAGATTCCTGGTGTAGAGGTTGTATTTTTCTGTGAATGTGTAGCAGCATGCACTAATGATTCAATGACACTTGGATATGTATACACTGAAGTGTAATGAGGTATGACACTACAGTGTGTGTGGGTAATGAACATTGACCAGTTCTGTGTGACACTGTACTGACACGATGTGACATCTCAGCATCAGGGAACACAGCAGCCCTAAATTAGGAGAACAAAAGCAGGCAGGGAATGACCCCACTAATTCATTGTATTATGGGATTACAATGTCCGAATGAAAACTTTGATGATAGTAAAAGTGACATGATCATGGTCTAAACTTAAAAGATCTTCTATGTTTCTAAGAGAGCTCATTGTGATTATTAAACCAGTACTGTAAAAACAAAGTGAAATACAGTATGTACAAGATTTATTTTTGTTTTAGGTAAGGTGGAGAGGGATTAGAGCACCTGTCAGGTTTC